GATTCAGGGGTGGAGCTGGAGGAATGGAGGGGAGCGGAATTAACACAGCTCGATATATTTCAAACCTTCTCTCTCCCCCTGGCTACACTCCTCGATGGATTTAATAATTTCTTTTACAAGCTGGATCGGGAGTTTCCATTGGAAGTTGTTCTCGGAAATTAAAGGAAATTTACTTTGTTCACTGAGCTGTGCTTTATTGTTCTGAATAAATGGATGATTTGATTTATGAAAACACTTTGTGAATATTGAAGTTGCTTTTATGGTTGGAGATTCAAAGTTTCAATATTAAATCAGGAAATTGCACTTTAGTTATGCAAAATCATGGATGCATGTTGGAAAAATTGTCGATTTAACAAGGTTTGAGCTTGTTAGAATGCAAATGATTATAAAGTTGTGTCGTATAAAGTGTCCTGAGTTTTGGATGTGTGAAAATGAAAGCTTTAAATATTAGTAATGTGAATTTACTCAAGGTAACAGTTGGACTATAGTCACAGTTGAATTTTATTTATACTTTCTAGAGCTTCGTAAACTAAAAAATTTAAACCTTTTTTTAATACAAGTTTAGACTTCCTTTGCAATGTAACATCATTTATGAATGACTCCTCCTCATTTTATTTTCAATTATATTAAAATCATGTTTTGCTAGCTTTAATGCTCAATATCTCCAAAACAAATATAAGAAAAAGTCCACACAAAATGATTTGTATCCAAAAATTGGGTTTCTTGTTGTACGATTCCTTCAGAATGGAAGATTATTGTGTTCTAAAAGGAAGCAAGATAATTTAAGAATCTTGATCGAAAGACAAGTTGCAAAATTACCAAGATGAATTGAGGTTGGTAAAGCTCTTAAGATTTACAGTTTGAAATTTCGAATACAAATTCAAATGAAGCCAATTGTTGAGCTAATAACGAGTCATTCTTTAAATGCTGGTCAGCAACAGACAAATCAACTTTCTAATCAATCACAACAGTATCAGTGTCACTAGAGCACTGCCATGTCGCCATGTATTAATTGCTTAATGATAGTGTGCGCTCTGATAGTTGCTCGTTGTTAAAACATCAGATTTACTGTAGTATATAGCTTGGGGTTCTAAAAATTACATAAAACCCGTCAAACTCAATGTAAAATTTTTATAATTTTCTTAACTATCCGAGAGGGTTAATAAACTCAATCAATCAATCAATCAACCCTAGCGATACAGGACTCCATTTGGTTGTCATTTAAAGTCTCATGAAGGTCGGAGTTTATTTGAATTCTAAACTTTATGCCTTATTTTATGTTGTTAATACAAAATGTCACTAATGATAACATCATGATCAGGCAGTCAAATCTACGTTCCAAAAACCCAGCAAAATATTATTTTTATAATAACTGAAGACCACACAAACCGAGAAGGATAAGATAAAAGAACGAGACAACAGTCACCATTCATCTATCCATCGAAAGGGGGATTATCATTGAGTTATTATCATGGAAAAGAATTTTTATGGGAAATCTTCATCTTCCACAGCTCTTTTTGGAAATCCACATTTGCTTGCCTTTTCCATTTGTCTAAATCTCCCTTCTTTCCATCGTATTTCAACGTCCCATAATGACAACAAAAAAATCTTTCATTTTAATCTTGAAGCGGTTTTAGTTCCTTCATCCTTGATGTCCTTGTTCCGTCTATCTCTTTATTTTCATGAATGTTTAAGAAGTTGGTTTGAGAAGCTTATGGATCGACAAAGACATTCGTTTATTAAATGTATAAGAAACCATCTCGTCATTCAAGTTGAATATTTCCTTATTCTGCTGTTTTTAAACCATAGTCATGTATTTACGCATTTCTGTGTGAGGAAAAGGAAATGAGAAAAAATAAACAAAATGATGAGAATGGAAATAGATGAAAAAAAAGTTCATTTTTTGATGACGTAATGCTGAATTTCATAAAGTTTGGATAAAAATAATTAAGAATCGTAATTGAAGGTTAAGTTTTTTTGTGAAACACATTAGCAAATATTTTTTATTCAGGGTTTTTTATTGTGAGATGACGATTCAGGATTAAATGTGAAATTGAAATGTTTTCCAAATGATGGTCCGTAACATACCAGCCACTAGTCCAAAGCTACCAAAAACATAGGTTTGAACTAAAACTTGATAAATGATTAATTCAAGAATTATCTATGCAATGCTATGAAAGGTTTGAAATCCCAACTTATACATTCTTAATTGACCTTCCATCTTTTTCATCCTTCCTTTATTTAAATTTACAAGTTCATCATCCAAAAATCATAAAAAACTTTATTAAACTTTCAAATTCACAAGTCGCAATCCTAATTATAATTAGCATAAAATCAAGATCCTTAAGTTAAATACAAAATTAATTTCAATTTTCAGACATTTGTTAATCAAAACACTTAACTACGTGGACAAATAAAGCGACGACAGACACAAGACTAATTGAAGACACTGAAAACTTTGTTATGAGTGCAAGAAAAAATTAATTTGAATTTTTAAATGCCTTAAAGTTTAAGCCATGAATTTTGAGGAAATGTTGGATTGATGGGATGTTTTGTCTTGATGGCTGATAGCAGGGAAGTTTGAATTTTTAAAGGCGAAAATCGCTTACACCAAGTTCAATTCCCAAAATCTCCAAACAACATAAAAGATTCCAATAAGAATCCAAACTCATCTCAAAATCAGTGTTATAAAGCAAAGATTCTTTAACTTGTTTGAGTTCCCCTTTCATCACTTCATTTTTAAAACATGGATTAAAAATGAGAACGAGAAAGTTTGTCGTTAAGTAAAAGAGGAGCTCATCAAATTATAAAAGCATGACGATGAAAGATGAATACAAAATGATACGAAAGATGAGAAATGGAAATAAAGCAAGTAATTTTAATACGCTAATTAAAGAGAAAAAAATGAGAAGACAGCAAATACACGGTTGTGCTGTAGATATAGCGTACTTAATGGAATAAACAAAAATGTCCAGAACATGGCAGTTAATGTGAATAAAAAATAAATTTAAGTCATTAAATTAATAATGAAATGCTTAGTTTTCGTTCTTCTGGTGCTGCTTTGCTATTTTTTGTTATCTAAAAAATCTGTTGGTAAACAAAATTTCTGTTCCTTTAGCAAGCTCAGTCAATTACAAACAACAGACTTATGCGGATGATATAATGAGATAATGCAAATGTAAATGGTGTAGAAAATTTATCATGTTGAGACTCATAACCGTTGTCGTTGTCGGTGAGACTGTTTTTATGTAGGACGCATCTCCTTTCATCGTAAATTGCCTTAATTTGATAAAAAGCTGAATTTTGCCTCTCTCTTTTTTTTGTTTGTTGCTGACTGCTTTTTTTTCCTGATGCACAGTTGTGTCGCTATTATATTTGACAACTTTTTCGACTCGACTCACTCTCTTCATTCCACACAATTTCTCCATCCGAATGGGAATATAATGTGGCTATATAAAATGGTAAATGAGGCAAAAGTAGTATCATCAGTAGTGCCAGCACACAAAAACTGTTCACCTCAGCACAATTAAATCTTTCTTAAATGAGTGTAATTATTGTTATTTTATTTAAACAAAGTTTATTTGTTCTGCTCCTTCTCTCTACTCGAGTGCTGTTCTTCCAACATTTCTATTTACTCATTCTTTAAGTTTAGAGTCTTGTCTTTATTGCTTGCACCAAAAGAGTCTAAAAAAAAGATTACACGAAGAACAAAAAAGTTGCCACAATCATCCTCATTTAACTTGAGGAAACAAAGTTGGTTGAAAATTCCGGAGGTAAGATGAGCAAGAGCATCATCATTGTCGTTTAAAAAAGTGGAACTTGAAGTTAAAGGAGCAATGAGAATCCCTTTTTTAACTTCACCTGCAATTTATGGTTTAAATTAATGGAGGGAATTTTTTTGAGTGAAAAATTAAAGAACACGAATATCTTCAAGTCATATTTGCTATAGTCGGACCTTTTAAGTGCTTTGACAAAGTTTAAGAAGTTGGGTACGTAAAAAAGAAGTTTGTCAGTGCTGGCAAATCGAGTTTTAATTAAAGAACAATTTTTATTTTGAGAGTAAATTATTAAAGCTGCCAATTAGACAACCAGTTCTGCCTGCATACGCAAGCATCATAAACTCCTACTCAGACAATAAAGATCCAGTCAAATTTCAACTTATGGAATCCCACAATCATCCAATTTAATTTAAAGAAATAACATCCAATCAATAAACACCATAAACATCAGCACTGATTCAAAAACAACCAATTTACAATTACTGTAATAGGGCAATTCCACGGATGAGTGGAATTCAAGAAAAATGAATTGCAATTCTTCTTCTACTTGAAAATTTAAATTTTATAAATACGTTAAATTTTTTTAATAAAAATTTCATCTTTCTTTAAAATTTAATCACAATTCGTCGTTATTTACTTATTTTAACAAATTTTGTTGTTTATACAATATTAATTTGATATTTTTGACAAAAAATGTCCACTATAAGATCAATTAAATACAGGGAAAGCTTGAAACAACCAGAAAATCGCGAAAAGTATGAACAATATCTACTGAGAAGAAAAAAGAACAACCAGAATTACATCCATAAGCAACTAATGAACAAAAAGACAGCAAAAGTATTCATAAGGAAGCAGCAGCAACGAACAAAGAAATGTAGAGACAGAAAAAAATCGGAAAATTCTAAAGGACCAATAGAATCGGCATTTCCATCCATTTCCGCTCGTTCAAAAGCAGTTATTAAGGCACAGAAATCACTTCCAATGGTCTTAAATAAAAGAAAAGAAGTCGTAGGCATTCTCGCTGAACGTAATGGCATAACAGAAATGAAATCAAAAGTTTTAAGCATAAAACCTCGCAGAGGATTCCCTGAAATTGAAGTAATTGTTAACGATTTCTACTGCTGCGATTTGATCACGCGTCAAATGCCAGGCATTAAAGATTTTGTGATTGTAAAAAACAATTTAGGTGAAAAACAAAAAATCCAGAAACGCGTATTAATAATGTCACTTGCCCATGCCCATGAAGAATTTAACAAGACTTTTCCACAAATTCAAATTAGCTTGTCAAAGTTTTGTGAATTACGTCCACAGAATGTCAAGCTGTTTACAGAGGAAATTCAATATTCGTTTAAATGTGTCTACTGTGAGAACGCAAAATTTCTGTTCAATGCGATTGCTCCGTTTATTGCTGACTTTAGGAATAGTTTAGATGATGTCATGTTTAAATTCTGTTGTGATAAGGAAAACTATCCATGTATTTCTGGTGAATGCCCAATATGTCGAGATCACAAGGATACATTAATTGGAATATTACAGGTGGATTGCATGGATAAAGTTGTCACTTATCAGGAATGGAGAAAAAATGGAGGATATACAGAAAAAATAACTGAACATGCAGCAACTGTTAGGGATGTTGTTGAAAAAATCATTTCTGGATTGAAGCGTTTAAAAATGCACATTTATTTAAAAAAAATTCAACAGCAATTTTTTTATGACATTAAACATACGCAGTCACCAAAAAGTGCTACAATGGTTGTTGACTTTGCAGAGAACTATTCAGTAAAGGGTCAAAACGAGGTTCAGTCTTCATATTTTGGTCGTAAGCAAATAAGCGTGTTCACGTGTGTTTCATGGATAGGACAAGAACAGCACGAAAGTTTCGCAATTATTAACGACAATATTCAGCACAGCAAGGAACAAGTCTATTTTTATTTAAAATTAATCATTTCAGAGCTACAGAAGGAATATGATTTAGAGAATTTAGTGATATTTTCTGATGGTGCGTCAAGTCAATTCAAAAACCGCTTTTCATTGTCAACGGTCATGTTCTCAAAACGAGATTTTAATTTGGACATGGAATGGCATTTTTTTTGCACGTCACATGGAAAGTCCAGTGCTGATGGAATTGGAGCTGTTGTAAAAAGGGGTGTTTATCAAAGAGTTTTACTTGACAAATGCTCGGTTTACACAGCAAAAAAGTTTGTCGAATGCTGTAAGACTTTTTGCAATAAGATTAATGTTTTTGAGGTCAAACAAGATGATGTAATAGAACAAACCAGAGCTATAAAAGAGAGATGGAATCACATCAGTCGAATAGATGGAAGTCGTGATGCACACTGCTTTAAGCCCTCACTTTTATTTGGTTCCATTATTTGCGCTAAATCTTCATTAATGGATGATCCTGTTGAGATTGGCATCTTTAATTAATTTTTTTTGTTGTCATCAGCTAAAATCATAGAGTATTAGAACTAATAATACTCATCATTGCTTATCTGCTGAATCTACAAGCGTAAGGCCTTACTTTAATATTAATCTTTCAATTTTTAAATTTTAATTCTTTAATTATGCTTATTTCTGATCTAAAATTGACTCGGAAAATAACTTCTATCAAGCTGAATAAATTCTTGATTTAAAATAAAATTTAACGTATTATTGAATTTTGAATTTTTCAAAACTATTGATAAGACGCTTTCTGTTGTACTATTACAAAAAATATTGTCAAATTTTTGATTTTTCTCTTAATTAAGCAATACTAATGTGAATTTAAATATGGAGAATGATTAAATTTGATAAAATGCACAGGATATTAAGATTGAATAGACGTCTAGATGTTTAGAAAGTATAAAAATTCGGCTCACAAAATAAAAATTCCACTTTTTGTAATAGTACAACGCTCAGAAAAAGTCGAATATTTCATTAATTTAAGCATTTAGAAGGACGCAAAACAACCATAACGGAAGAATTTACCGTTTTACATAAGTTTATTTAGTCATTGAAACGTCTTTATTGCTGAATATTAAGAAAAATTGATTTAAAGACGAATTTTTTGAAAAAATCAATCCGTGGAATTGCCCAATAGCAAGTCAGTCAGTTCCAGATTGAGAAATTGAAAATAAAATTTTATGACGGTTTGACTATTACATAAAAATGCGAGATCCCCTCAGCAATTATTATTTAAAGGATTTAATCTAAAAAGAGAGAGATTAGGGAGAGTGGAACAAGCAGATTTCATTATTTTTTTTCTCCTCATCCTTTACTTTAGGATGAATAAAACGTGACTTCTTTCTTTTTCAGCTGGTCATCTTGGGAAAAGTTTTCCTATAAACGGGAAATGAGAATGGAAAGTGTGTGACGGTTGGGGGAGGAAATGAGAAAAAAATTCGTAGAACTTAGTTTGGAAGTGAAAATTAGATGGATTGGAAGAGATTTTTGACAGAGGCTTGGATTAGAGGACGATGTCGACTAGAATTTTGTATTTATGCAACTTTATACTGTTTCAACCTCTAGCTTAAATTAAAAGTATCAAAACCATTCCATTAGTACTTAATAACTCCTATAAATGATAATTGAGTGTATCACATCTCATCAGTCACTCCAAAATAAAAATGTGTTTACCAAAAATATTTCTTAAAGCTCAGCATTATCTCATTTAATCCAACAATTCATAATCTTCACTCTCACAAATTGACCTGTGGTTTCTAAAATCTTCATAACCTCAAAATAAAATTCTTCTATCCTTAAAAAATCTGTCACCATCAAATCATCATCTTCAAGCAAAAAAATTCTAAGCTGCAATCTTCGTTTTGCGTAAAATCTTTCTTTTCATCTCACTATCTTATGTCAACTGATGTCACACATAAAAAATATACAGAGAAAAGTGTCAGAAAAGACCAACAGTTTCAGTGACATCAGCAATAGGAATAAAAAAAAAAGAAAGTTTTTCGAAAGAACAACTTTGTCGTTTTGTTTAACAATCTTTTGCTCCATCATCACAGCCCGAGTTGTAGGAGATAAATTTTTTATGAGAACAAGAAGAGATTTTCATTTTAATGAAGCAAAATTGTGGTATGGAAGAGATGTAATAGGTTTATGGATTTAGTTAAACTAATAATCTTGTCAGTCGACTTGATTTTGATTTTTTGAAGTAGATTTTTGATTCATTTTGATGAAAAGAATTGGTTGTGAATGAAAAATCTTGAGATTTCTTGGTGAAAATGCTAAAGAAACAAGAGAATTTGAAAAGCAGCTGCGGTGTGGTTGTTAAGGAAAAGGTCTAATACGCTTACGTCCCGGGTTCAAATCCTAGCAATATATAGATTAATTTTGAGTCTTTTCATAGCTCTAGTCAAATAATTTGGCTTGTGTCACTATTAAAACTAAAATAGAAGCTAAGTACACTGAATTGATAAGCCATGAGTAGCCTGGAGTTATTTTATCGTTTAGAGCTGAGAAAAAGCCATGAAAATTGGCTTAAATTCAGCTCTAAAATAAGCTTTATTCTGTTGAAGGTTCCCAAGCTTAACCTACATAAACGTTAGTATTAAGGAAGCTGTTGAGAATAAAACAGTAGTTTATGTTGGCACTCTGTCAAGGTTCCAAGTAGTCACCGATAGCATTAGTTGTACGAGCATGTTATTGAAAATTATATAAGTTTACAGGTTTGATTCCCACTTTGAGTGCTTTCGTTATTTCGCTTAATATTTAGACTAAAATTTCTTAAGCATTAAAATCAAGTTCTAGCTTAGTTCTAACATATTTCTTTACTTCCCGGGGCCAACAAACTTCCTCGTTAAAAACTCTATCCTCCTTCTAATACAATGAATACTTAAACTTATAGAAAAAAATAAAATAATAGGAAGATAAAGAAGAAGCACAACAGAATGAATGATAGCAAAAGAAACTTTATTTTTATTTCATTGAAGCATAAAGATATTTAATGCAATCTCATCATTAAGTCTGATACAGTTTCCACAAAACTTGTCCTTATTTATACGGTGTGTCATTCTCAAAAGCCAAAGTTTGTTATGTATTTTTTTTTTGTTCTCTTTTGCAACAAAGTCCAATGACGGAAGAAGAGAGTGAGAAAGATGGAAAGATTGAGAGAAGCTCAAAGAATACAGAAACAACAGTCCAAAGGGGGATACAATATGATGGGGAATTTTTCACTCTGTTTGGAAATTTCACACTTAGTTTCAATCAAAATGTTTTAACTGAAAATGAAATTTTTTCATCATTTTTTTCCCAATCATGTTGTTATCCCCCTGGTGGATCCACTATAGAGGCATCGAAAAAAAAGACTAAATAGATGAGAGATGAATGAATAAATGAAAAAGTTGTGTTCGGGCAACCTTTAAAAAATATTTTTTTTTTCTTGCCTCCTCCTCCGGTTTTTCAGTTTGGTGCTTTATTCATTCATTTTGTGTATCTTTGGAAACAAAAGTGCGATTTTTTTTTTAAAAAGTTTTTCGCCTCAATTTTCTCATTTTTGTGTACTTTGTCTTATCTATTTTTCATGGTGATGAAAGTTGTTATAAATAGTTAATGACATTTTCTCTTTAGTGCCTTTTGCCTCTTATTTTTCTTACTGATGTTGCCGCAATTCTCTTAATTAGTAATCGTCCTTTATAATTTTCATCTTTCTATCAAAAAAATATGAAGTGTCTTATTCAGTGCTTCTTCACTTTTCAAGGAGGTAGAGTGACGATGAATGAGAAAATTTAATGACATTTTAACATGATAATATTAAGACTTTTTGCTACAACGATGGAATTAAGGTGTTTGCTTTAAAGGTCAATTAAGTTTATGGTAAGGTAAATTTTTATGCTCTAAGAAACATATTGAATGAATTTCGTAATGAAGCTGCCAGGTTGCAGGTTTCTCAATTTTGTCCAGTTATATTCTAAATTGGATGTGTTGATAAGGACGCTATAGTCCTTAATATACCTAGCAGGTCTCCAAGGATGGGGATGTCTCTAGACGATCTCTGAACACGGCAATGGGCCCACGTATAACAACCATAGAAGTAAGGAAGTAAGTAATTATATTCTAGATTAATCCTTGGTCAAACACTCCCAAGAGACCAGTTCTAGAAAACATCACTCAGGCGCTAAGCTATCAATACCTGCATGTTTTCTGTTTCAAACTTTGTTGTCTAATGATTTTCTTCTATAATTTGCTGCAATTAGAGTCTGATACTTTATAAAAGTAAACCAATAAAGTTCAAATCAACTCAAAGCTGTATAATTATTACAAAATATACAAGTTCAACAAAACTGCTAAGTTTGTTTGATTTAAAAGTCATCGATACTTCCTGAATCAAAAGAATCTGATAATTACAGATCTAATTAAGTTCAAAAACTATTGCGAATCGAAATTTTCCATTAACATGATTCTCTAATTACACTCAAACTTGCTCATCAATATCAAAACTTGCAGCAAATATTTAAATGCCAATTCAAAAGCTAAGGTTCAAACATCAATTCGAGAAAATCAAATGAAACATTTCTCGAAAACATGAAATGTTTGTTGAAGGTTTTTCGTCCTTTCTTTTTTGCAAAACTAGCTAGAAAGAACTTTTCCATTTTTGAATCGTTAAAAGAAAATGCGATGAAAGTTTTTTTACATCATTTTTCAAACTTTTGTCGAAATAAATTCTTTTTAAAAATGCATTTAGCTTCTATGGCTTGTAAAGTTTTCACTTTGTGTACAAACTTTTCGCATATATTTTCTTTTGCATTACAAGTGAAGAGGAAATTTATTGCTCAGCATTTCAATTATTTTTGTGTCAATGAACAGCATTTCACTTTATGAATAAAAGAGGGGAGATTCTTGGCTGGATTATAGAGTTTGAAATGGATAAACTTAAAGTTATATCGCTTATAATTTAGCTTAAAATCTTACAGCATTGACAATGGATTGAAAATTTCACTTTAGCATGGATTTACCACTTGCGATTTTCAAATTGGATTTTCTCACACTTTACGCAAAGAATTTTAATTTTTTCTTTGAAATCTTTTAAATTAAATCGGAGCAAAAAAGAATTCAATGACATTTAAAAATTTAAAATTAGTATAAGCTTTAAAAACTGAATTTTAAAATTTGTATCCGCCATTTTGAAATTTATTCCATCAATTATCAAGTAAAACAAACTCAATCGCCACGAAAACCAAAGAAGATGATGAATTAAAATTTCCATTTCCGGAAATCACACAAATAACATTCATGCTTTAAAATAAGCGAAAGCTCTAACGATTGAGGATGATATATGAGCTAGTTGAGTCTGTTTTTATATTCATCAAATGAGAATCATGTAGAATGCAGAAAACCGCAGTACACAACAGCTGAGGAAATGAAATGTCAAACGGAAGCTATTGGATCGTTGAAAGACGAAAAAGTCTGAAGTTGATTGGCATTTGGCATTCTAAAGT